ACTCTTAGAAATGTGAAAGAAGTGCAGAAACTTTTGCTTCACCGACGTTACTGGCGCATAAGTGCTGAATACCACATCAGCTGCTGATCCAAAAAGGAGGGCATTTCTCTTCATCGGCTTGAAAATAAACGACATTTTGTTTCCAAATAAATAATCAATTAACAACCTCGTGTTTCCTTATCAGAGAAAAAGTGAATTATTTGTTTTAATTTGTAGTATACAGTGTTTGTTACACTTCTTAGCGACTAAAACTATTTGTCTTCCAAACATGGCGAGACTTCTGGCTCTTCTGATCCCGCTGCTAGCGGCCACCTCGACAGTATTGGGGTGTGGGATGATGCCACCAGGTCAAGGTAATGAATAAAAATTTGTCATGGCACGCGTACAGTTGTTATTTTAAATATTAAGTCCTTGACTGCAAACCGAGTGAATATATCTAATATTTCCTTACTATTGAGAAATTCACTTAGCGCAAACCTTACGATATAAAGATTTTTAATTTTAATAGGCAGAAGCCAGGATAACTTTTAACTATAAGCTATAAGGAACAGAATTTTTTGCAGCAAGGACTAGGACTTTCAGTATCACCGGTTTTAACTTGCCAGTGGCCATGGTCTACTCCACCGCAGCCAATGTCCCTGCGCAAGTTGCTGGCATTGCAAACAACGAAGGGGGAGCTCAGGCATTTGTATCACGTCTCGTAATGCAAGCAGTGAGTTCACAACTCTTCGATTTGAATTCTTTTCCCTTCTCGGTTTCTGGAGGAGTGTAGAAGGCAAATTTAAGTTTTTAGAAACTTAGCCCGCGTTTTAGTTTCAACGCATTTTGTCATCATAGCGCAATAAAATTTGATTGAAAGCGCTTCTATATAAACTTTACTGTCTAATGAAGAAGCTTGTTCTTAAGGTTATTGATGTTCTCGAAGAGCAAGGTCGCAGCGCTGGCCTCTCTGATGCAATAATCTCTCTCATTTTGGGTCAGCTCACTGTTCAAGTCAGGTATACTCCACTGCAATGCATGACAGTGGCTGTGAACCCAGTAGCAAACATGCCATGTAAGTTTTTGACTTCTAACAACATTTCTAGGAGGTTACACTGATAGCGCACAAGCGCTTTAAGAAGAGCTATTGCGCTCTCGTTGCAGAAACCATCTATAATTAGAAGTAAATTTGGAGATGAATTAGCTGTGAGGTAGACGGTTTAAAATCCTTTGTCTTTGCAATATTTTCCACGCCTTTCAAAAGGTGGTGAGCCCTCATGAAATTTTGATAGTTAATACTTCAGCTCGTATTGCTAGTAATTAGTACCAACAGCAATTTAGAGCATCACTATTCGCTGCGGTGGTGCATCGCTCAATTCGCATCAGGATCCAGTTCCACCCGGCTCGGTCCAACCATGGTCGCCTCTATTTGAGCTCTTGAAATTTGCACATGAACTGTCCAGTATGTGCTTGCCTACTGCAATTCATAAAGGTTGACGACCACCTGTCGTGAAGGTGTGGAAAGAAATGCTGTATCACGACAATCCCAGGATTTCTGGAAAAACGTACTCCGGCAATATGGAACAACATACAGAAAAAAGAGGAAGAAAAGTTTTGAAGCACCACTCCAAGCAACATATCAATCCGAAGCTTCGTAAATGATGTCTGCGAAGAGAAGAAGGGAATGCTCGAAGCGTTAGAACCCGCTTAGTATGTGATGTCATATCGTGTTAAAGAATCAATTGTGGCGCACCATAGAGATGGTCCACATCGATTCGATCTTAAACGGCGTGGGTGGGGAGAAAGAACCGTTTAAATCTAGTCTCACTTTTTTAAAAGAGGTTACGACGAAGAAAATTTTGCCGAAGTTTTCGGAGCGAAAACGATAGATGAGGATGGTGAAGTGCCTTCGAAGGAATCATTAAAACGGTGAAATGCTCAAATTTTTCTATGTTCAACTTTCTTCCACATAATTGGAGTACACTATCTGCTGCTTGTCTAGGCTACTCTAACGAACAAATTATTTCCACTTTCAGTAAATATTTCTGAGAGTTCGAGCCATGTCTTAATCTAACAGTCGGCCGAACAAAAAGAAAGTTTTAAAAAAATTCTGCCTGGCGATGGTGTTCTAAGTGCTTTAAAACGTTGCCACTAAAATGCTTTTAGCATTTAACAAGTATTTTCACACAAGAGGAGGCGGATATCCCAATGGCATTGATGTCTATTATCGCTAACGCGGTGCTTGCTCGATTACACTCCGGACCATTCAAGCCTCTGATCTCTCCCGGGTAGAGAAAGTGGTACCAGACTCGTCCGCGAAGGAATCACTACCTGTAATTTAAATGAGAGCGGTCCAGCTCGACAATTTCGGGACCACAGGGAATATCGACTCGACCAGCATTCCGTGATATCCGAGATGAAATGGAAATCCTCAAAGAGCAGCCGAGGTCACACGGAAACTTTAAAAAACCTAAGCAGGTGATGGATGCGATGAGTAGAATCGAATATGAGAAGTGCTGAGACCCACACAGTGGACGTGAAGAAAAGACGGCTCGTATAAAGTGAAATAATAAATTTTCGAACGACCGACTTCCTATCAACCTCGGCACTAATGAAATGGTTGATCAATGTATGCATTGTTCAAAAGAAATTTATACAAGTGGAGCAAAAATTGGAATAAACGTGTAAAGTTCCCGATAAAAAACTAATTATCGGGCTCGCCCGATTTTGAATTGAAGCAAACGTTTGATTACAGATTTTGTTTGCAGTTAATGGAGTTGATGCAATGATGATGCCGCACTGCATAATCTACGGAAACACGGTGACTGCTTTATGCAATGCAATGGGTAATGCTGCGATGTGTCAGCTAGACAATGCGATGATGATCGGAAGCATTCCAAACGAGCACTTGTCAATTTCCGGAAGCCTCACGGTTTGTGTTACTTACCTTTCCACACAAATTCACTTCAAGAAGAAAAACGTATGCAGACCACAAACATTATTATGGCGAACTGGTCGAGAGAGATGTGGCAAGGCGTGGTGAACAGAGCGGTTCGAATGCTGGCATCGGGTCCATTTAGTGAGAACTTTGCCTCGGCATTTGCAACCGTCGACTGAAACAGGAGTTTAACAGTGAAGTGGTCGGAATAACCTGTGACCTGTGCCGCCGTTAAATTCACAATGGTAATAAAGTTGAAAAATGTGTTTGATGGTTAGACTTATAAAAAAAAAAACAAAGTTGAGCTTGAAGTGTGAGAAGTCACTAATGCTATCCTGGTAAGCCGACTGAAGACTCCTGCATACACGAAGTGACCTGGAAAAATCTCCAAGTTCATACATTTAAAACTGCTCCAACATCACCCCATGGTAGGTCAAAAAAACTCGTAAAAATATAAATACCCTGCAAAAACAGTAAAAGATTTAAAACAATTACTTTCATTGTGATATCCCATGAAAAAAAGACCTGCTGTCGCACAGCAATTAAGAGAAGCACGAGGTCGATACAGTTCTACTTTGTTATTCCCCTATCGTTTGCCTACTACCTCCTATCTCTCATGGGCGTGCATGTTCCTACCAAACTTCACAGACACAGGAACGCTGATTATTTCCCACCATCGACTTTTTATTAAATTTGGGATTGATCAAGTAATCCTTCGTATTCTTGTTGACCAAATTCGAAGCGTTAATTTTATTCTTTCTTCACGAATAAGCCTGACGTTTCGGCGGATTTCGCCTTTCTCAGAGACAGGAAAGGTTAAGTTGGCAGCAATCTATTCGGCCAAACACCTCCATAACCAAACAGAAAAAGCGCTAAACCAAAATTTCAATCACACTGAACACAGCTTTGCAAACTAACCGCTTTCTATGAGGCTTCCACTGAGTATGTCGCGTGGAGACCAATAGCACAGAATTCACATAGAAGAGTAATGTGCCCCTCCCATCAGAATAACAGGCTTATAGACTGTTCAATATCACGTGTGTTAATGAGGCATTCCTTCCTGCCGTTTCATTTTCGGGTTTCTGGAATTAATCCTGAACGCCTCGAGTGTTTTGTGCGTTTGACACGTACTTCAAAGTCCTCCAAGTTAAGTTCCTGAGTTCTATGCGTGCCTGGTGGAGTATTTGATTGACGTTTGCCGGCCAGGTGTTCTTTTATGCAGACGCAGAGGTGTCCGCCCGTTTCGCCAATGTATTCGTCTGGCGAAACGGGCACACACCTCTGTGTCTGCATAAAAGAGTAGGGGCAATACCAGTACCACCATTTCCTCAACCGTTCTTTAGACAACAAGAGCCCATTAATAAAGTTGATATTAAATTTCGGATGTTTACGAATGAAACTTTCAAAGTCCTAAATCACTATCGCGCTAAAAGATACTGCTCCAACCTCACTGAAGTGCAAAAACATGGTATGCGATAGGTACGAGAGCTGATAAAGCCGAAAACCATACGACTATTGGTTACTGATAAGCGTGGATAGTTCTTTGTAATTGCCCATTAGCTAGATGTTGAGATAACGGAAAAGCACATTGAAGATGATTCCCTTTATCGTCCGTCGTCTGAGAAGGAGTTTAAAAGTCAATACCGAAAGTTAAACAACGAATGGGTTAAAGTGGCAAGAGCGGCTGGTTTAAAAAAATGTAGCTAGAAATGAATATTTTCGAACAGGAAGTCACTTTTGAGGCATTCTGCAGAACAATAAGATGTCGACGTGTTTCGCTCAGTGTGCCCCAAAACTGTACGTCGCTTCCAACATCGTTCTGTGCGATCCCGCCCTTGAGCGTTTCCAGGTCTCCATCAAAATATTCGGTGGTCACAACGGGAAGATGGTTCTGACATTCCGACCAATATTTTTCTGAAATAGGAATGATCCTTATTGTTATTAGATCAAATATTAAAGCGCAAAAAACTGAAAAAAAGGGATAAAAATACTAAAATTTTTTTGCCTGGCTTACAGCCTTCTTTTAACCTATCGATAATATCGGTAATCTTCCGTCAATAGAAATGACCTGGAGAGCACAAATCGCCATTGAAAAAGCTAAGTTGACGAGGTGTTCGAAATTTCTGGGTTTTAGCTCATGTTTGCTAAATTATTGACAAAGCTCAAATTGATATACGTTATGAAAACGACAACGACAGCTTATGATAAGCTTATGAAACATTGCAACTGGGTTCGCAATCGTGGCAGCTACTATTTTTTGCCGTCCGTGTAAGAGTAGACCAGTGGGTTCTGCTCGCTGTAGGAATCCGTTGAACATCGTTCCTTTTCATCTAGGGTGTATAGGAACTATTCAACAAATTGTTCCTATTTGCTATATTAGCACGCGCATCCTGTTCAACTGTAACTATCTTTGCATCTTCTCTAAATTGTCTATTAGAGACCACCTCGTGCAGTTGCATCGCAGTTGGCTGGAAAGGGAATCAGTAACTTCTCTGCATAAATCGCTCTTATTTTACCGACAGTTTTGGCACTGAATGAGCAGCTGTCAGCGGCATGCACTTTTCAGCACTTGCCATGCCAAAAAAGTTCCCGAACGAGCAGCTGCGCCTTCTCATATGTACTTTCTGCAAAAGCTGTTGCATGGTCTCCACGAACTTTTTGTGGATGTAGCCCTTTCAGATTGCACTAGTTCAGAATTCAGAAATTTCTAAAACATCTCTCTAGTCACTGTCTTTACATCACCGCTCTGAGGAAGGCGAATTCGCCGAAATGTCAGCCATCGGCCAAGAACACCTACAACAACGAAGGCGAAAATGGTATAGTTGCGGACCATCGATTTTCATTCCCATATTATCACATACCACTCGCTGTTCGCGCAGCGTATTCAACAGTAGCAGTAAATATTTTTTGGGAGAAGCTGTAGCTTTGTCAGACCTCTCTTTGGACGTCGATGTTAATAGCGTTGTATAACGGTGTTGTCTTGGTCTTTAAATGGTCACGCGAATTATATACTCAGCGGGCACTCCCTGAGTGTTCATGGATTCCATGATTGGTTCTATCTCAACTGAGTCAGAAGCAGTAACTCCCACAACCGAATTTCTATTAATCTCGGCATTGATTGAATAATTCTTTATATTTCTGTTTAACAAACACGAAGTGTTATTTTATTTTTTTTATTTACGCACAAGCTGACGTACCGGCGAATTTCGTCTTTGTCAGAGTTAGTATGGGGCAAGTTGACAGCAATCCATTCAGTCAAGCACCTTCATAACCACAGAGAAAACGCTAAACCAAGATTTCAATCACATTAAACACAGAATAGCTTCTTTGCACTTCTACCGCTTTCTATGAGTCTTCTACTGAATATGTCACATGGAGACCAATCACACAGACTTCACATAGAATATTAATGCGCCCATCCCATCGGAATAACAGGCTTACATACTGCCGAATATCACGCATGATTATGAGGCATTCCTCCCTGCGGTTGATTTCCGGATTCTCGGAATTAATCCAGAATGCCTCGAGAGTTTTGCGCGCTTGTGTTTTTGATTCCTGATCGTAGCGTTACTTCAAAATCCTCCTCGTTATGTCTCTGCGTCGTGCGCGTGCCTTGTGGAGCATCTGGTTTAAGTTTACCAGCTAGATGTTCTTTTATGCGGAAGCAGAGTGATCTACCCGTTTCTTCAATGTATTCGTCTCTGCAGGCTTTATAAGGGATCAAATAAAGAGTAACGAAGCTCATACAATCACCAACTGTTCGATTCTTTAGCGAAGAAGAGACATGTCTGAGCTAGGAAGAGAGAACCGGTTCTATAACATATCGATTCTCATTTATTTTAGGTGAGAGTGGGAGGACATACCTGCTTAAGAGATCTGAGTAGTATTCATTAGTGAATTTTTTCATTACCTTTCCGGACGCTGTAACTGTTCTGTCCGGGCTTTGTAGTGAATTCATTTTAATTTTGTAATTGGCGAAGCTCCGTTGTGTTTGGAAATGCTCTCATCAGCCTCTNCTTTGCACTTCTACCGCTTTCTATGAGTCTTCTACTGAATATGTCACATGGAGACCAATCACACAGACTTCACATAGAATAGTAATGTGCCCATCCCATCGGAATAACAGGCTTACATACTGCCCAATATCACGCATGATTATGAGGCATCCCTCCCTGCGGTTGATTTCCGGATTCTCGGAATTAATCCAGAATGCCTCGAGAGTTTTGCGCGCTTGTGTTTTTGATTCCTGATCGTAGCGTTACTTCAAAATCCTCCTCGTTATGTCTCTGCGTCGTGCGCGTGCCTTGTGGAGCATCTGGTTTAAGTTTACCAGCTAGATGTTCTTTTATGCGGAAGCAGAGTGATCTACCCGTTTCTTCAATGTATTCGTCTCTGCAGGCTTTATAAGGGATCAAATAAAGAGTAACGAAGCTCATACAATCACCAACTGTTCGATTCTTTAGCGAAGAAGAGACATGTCTGAGCTAGGAAGAGAGAACCGGTTCTATAACATATCGATTCTCATTTATTTTAGGTGAGAGTGGGAGGACATACCTGCTTAAGAGATCTGAGTAGTATTCATTAGTGAATTTTTTCATTACCTTTCCGGACGCTGTAACTGTTCTGTCCGGGCTTTGTAGTGAATTCATTTTAATTTTGTAATTGGCGAAGCTCCGTTGTGTTTGGAAATGCTCTCATCAGCCTCTGCTGGTTCTACCATAACTGCTGCTCTTCTCTCTTTATGATCTTGTTTTACAGCTTTTCTGCATGCCTTGATCTGATTTATAGTCTGTATAGACAGATACATGCAGCTTATGCGATTCCACGCTGGCGCATCAACTCGAGTGTTTCTGGAGACAGACGTCATTGGTGAGTTTCGAACTCTTTGCTTCCGTAGCGCTAATGTGAACATGTTGAATGAGCCGATCGTTTCACTCGTCAATAACTGCTGTTTCCCAACTGCCGACCAGTGAATTGAATAAGACCCAGTTTATGGTGGTTTTGGAACTTCGTTGAATGTCCAAAAATGGAAGAAAAGATAATGAAGAGACAAGGTCATTTCTCAACGTCGTCAAATGAGCTCTCTACCACCAAGTGTGGCCTATTCTCAAGAAGCGACGATCGCACTTTTTTTAAATTTTTGAGGATTTCCATAGCGATAAAAATAAGGCGTTCAACA